CAAGGCTCACTTGATGGCCAGCAAGAGAACGCCTCCACCCCCCGCCACCTTCCCCAAAATAAAAGGGAACAAATTCCCCATATTTCTGTGTTTGGCAAATGGATGAATCCCTCAAGCTGGCAGGTGGCAGTACTTGGCCTCCTCCATCTAATCAGGCTGCAACGGGGGGGGGGGGGGGCAGCGGCGGAGCCTGGCATCCCTTCCAAGGAGAGCCAAGACCAATATATTGCCATGTCTAAGAGGCATTTGCTGCCCCAAACAGCCTTTCCACCGCCTCCAATACACCGCTTGCACAATACAGCCAAACCCCTTACATCTGAAGCTTCTGGTTGTGAAGTCACCTAAGCAGCAGGGGACTCCTTGTGGCTAAACATCAGGTCTGGGCGTTCATCTGGGCACGCTAGGAGTAAGTGGGGCAGGCCCTGAGCCCAAGATGAGTCAGAGCTCCTTGCAAGACCACACGACTCTGTAGGAGACGCGCGACGCTCGTTTCCTAGAAGCGAGCCGCGAGTCAGCCTAAAAGTCCCAAGCAGTCCTAACATAGTCTCCTGGTTTCCAAAAAGCAAATTATGAAATATTATTCTGCCATTAAACATTCCAGTGAGATAGTTATTAAGTAGAGTAGCTTTGGGGACTCCCCATGACAGGTTTCATTTCTTAACAACATGGGAGCTACGAACTGCTAAGTAGCAAACCTGCTGCTTTCATGGTGATTAATTTATGAGCATTAATTGAGGCCTTCTATGTGCCTTTGCCCCCTGCCACAGGCCCCGTTGGTTGGGTGAGGAATGACGGGGTCTCCTGAGTAGTGGGACCAGCTGCTCAGGCGGTCCTCCCTTAGCTCGGCATTACGGTACTGCCCTGTTCGCTTAAAATGGTTGCTATCGAGAGTCCCCATGTACTTGGTTTTTATTTTTTATGTATCTTGATTTTATTGCATCTCTACGTTTTATTAATGTTTGCAAACTGTCTTTGGGGTCTTGTCACTGAAAAGGGAATAAGCTTTTCAGAAATTAAACAAATTTGTTTGCCCCTACAGTTAACAAATAATAATGATGATGATGATGATGATGATGATGATGAAAAATGTGTGTGTGTGTGTGTGCGTGCGCACATGCGCGCGCATGCAAGCCTATGACTTGGTTTTAACATCTAAGCCCTTTCTGCATTGCTGCCACAGACAGATCCGCATCGCACGGAGACCGTGAATAAAACAGGGTGATGGGATGGTCAACTTTTCACAGGCACTTAGGAAAGGAAGCATCTTCTCCAGCTCAGCCTTTTCCAAGGGGGTAGCTTCTACTCCCAGAGTTCCCCTGCAGCCAGGACCTTGTGGCCTGAGAATTCTGGGTACTGAAGTCTGATACATGTGGAGGACACTCAATGTGGGGAGACTCTTCCAGGTTATGGAGAACTTTGGCTACCAGATTGCTACCCACCTTCTGGCTCTTTAAAGACCCAGGAGCTGTATCAGGGAGGGTCACAGCTCACAATAATCTTGGTTTATGAATCAGTCATAACTGGCTGAGTTAACACAACATGCTTAGCCAAAGCTGAAGCTCATTCATGACTCCAAGCAGTTGTGGTTTATGAACTTTTCTTCTGGGGCAACAGTAGCATTTGGAACAAGGTGGCACTGTGGTGAAACCTGCTGCTACAACTGATGGGTTGTGGAGCCCTGGGATCTGTGTGCGCACATGAGTATGCACTGCAGCATATTTCTGTGCATGAATCACTGAGATCCCTTCCCTTGTCACACATTTTCCAATATTTTACAGATGGTGAAAGGAATACAGTCTACAGTCATGATGGGAGTTGTCCAAGATATTGAACACTCTGAACACCATTCTGGTGGCTAGGGATGATGGGACTTGTAGTCCAACATTTCTTGAGAGCTCAGGTTGGGAAAGCTGATCAAGAAACTCTGGAAGAGGATCTGCGTGGTTTAGTAGCACACATGGTCAATATTTTTAATACATGGGGATATGAGAAGAAATCAAGATAGTGACCAGGAAATGGACCTTTCCTGTTAATTGGACTAAATATAAAGCAGGAGACCCTTCCTCTGAATAGACACCGCCCCCCCAACACGCAGAGTCCTTAGAAGTGAGGCATATTCCGCTAGTTAAAGTAACTGCGATATCACAACACTCGCGTCTTTCACTGCATCAATGCAAGGAAGCCATGTTCTGTTCCACAACCTCCTTCTCCCTTCTAAGGCTGAGAAATCTCCTCAGGACTTGCACGGTATCTTGGCAGTTGCTTGGCAGTGCCTTGTACCTTGTACCCAGGACCTTGGCAATTGCTGCAAAGCACAAGGATCTTCCTGCATCTCCTGAAGCTTGGCTGGCACTAGCCAGATGAACATACATGCAAAATCCTCCATTTTGATAGAGGGCGGGAGGACAGGACAGCTTTCTCCCAGTCGAAAGCCTTTCCCTCCTTCCCTTCCTGGACCCAGGATCTCCCTCAGTGTGCAGCAACTTCTCACCAGCTTCTCACCCCAACAAGGCCAGAAGAACTGGATGGGACAAGAGGCCCCTGAAGGGAAAATCACTGTTCCTGCCAACCTTCACTGGGATACCAGCAATTTCACACCAGGAAGCTGCCAGGTGGAAATGCCACACATGGTTGCCACTTAGAGACTCAATGAACTGCATGTCCAGTCTGCTTAAAGCAAGTTGTGCAAGTGGAGAAGTGCAGCTGATTAATTCCAAAAAGTGTCCCTTCAAAGTAGCAGCTTGTTGAAACTTTCACAGCAAGGTTGACTTTGGAATCTCTCAGATCTGAAGAGCCAAAGACTGTCCAAGACCAGCAAAGGTGACCTCCCAGAGGAAGAGATTCCCAGTCCAAAACTCTGAGGAAGGTACACAATTGAGAATCAAAAGTCAAGATCTTCAACCCAGGACTAGTTTATACCATGCATGAAGCCATAGGGTGGCTTGTTCTGTTTCATTTTATTTTGGCTTTACTGTACAGGAGTCTTGCCCAGCTGCTGTAGGGTGATAAAGAATGATTTCTAATTTAGTGCAATGTATGAACCCAGCCATGACTTAAGCAAATCTAGGTTTAGTGGAATGTGTGAAACCAACCAATGGTCTCCTTCACGCATCGCATAAAATCATCAGGTTGGGTTTGACTTAGTGGCGGTGGGCCACAAAACATGCTTCATTGGACCAAAGACAGGGCTTGTATGCCACGTGAACAATAAAACCTAGTAAATGTAGGGCTGGTAAGAGTTACTTTTAACCCAACGGTGCCAGGGTTGTTTGGGTTAAACATTTAATTAAATGATGCATAATTAAAACACCTGGAACCATCAAGGGGGAACCCCACAAAGGCCATGGCATGAGGGCACAGTGCATGAAAATGTGTGCTGCGCAGGTATGTGCCACGGGTAGGGATATGGGGAGATCAGCCCCAAGTTAACTGGCAGAAATCGGCAGACAACACTTCCCACAGGACAGAGACAAACTGAGCAGGCCCTGCAGAGCTGTGATTAAAGGGCTGCTGAAGAAACAGGGCAACCTTCGTTCTCAAGTATGACTTCGAACCTTCTCTGCCTGATTCCAGGCCTGCCTCCACTTTGGCTGGGTGATCCTTTCAGCCATGATTTGTTGATTAAACCACCGTATCTGTGTTCACCTGCTAAGTCATAAATTGTGGTTTATCTGTAATGGCTGGTTTCATATTACAGTACATGCTAAACCAGTGTTCCTCAACCTTGTCGACTTTAAGATGTGTGGACTTCAACTCCCAGAATTCCCCAGCCAGCAATTGCTGGCTGGGGAATTCTGGGAGTTGAAGTCCACACGTCTTAAAGTCGACAAGGTTGAGGAACACTGTACTAAACTACAACAAGCAACCTCCATTTTTAGCTTGGGCATTGTCTGAACCTGGCAGCCAGTATCTATTTTTTTTCCCTTGGCCAATGGTTCTTGCATTCTGTCGCTTCCTACTTCTGGGCCACAAAGCTGCTCTAAAGTTGGGGGACTTCCCTGTCAGAATCCTCGCAATCGATCACTTGCACTGCTAGTCCGCTTGCTTCGTTTCTGCCATTACAGTGAAGGGGAGGAAGGGAGGCGAGGTTGGGAGGTGAACCGTTAGGCACAGATGGACTATTATCTGGCTCTCAGGAATGCCCAAGGCCGTACCAGCGTGGGAATTGGAGAACATCTTCGACATGTGCAAGAGAGATTCAAAGACAGAAGGGGGAGTGGAATGGGAGTGGGGTAAAACTAAGTTTTGGCGTCTGCGGGACTCAGCTCCAGCTATGCTTCTAGAGCCATGCACTACTTTCCAATAAATGAACTTTCCTTTGAACCTGCATTGGCTTCAATAAGAGTTGGTTTCGTTGGGAACGGAGTACCGCGGTTCTTACATTCCCACTATCTTCCAGGATCGCTGGGAAGACTCCCAGGCCCCTCAGGGAACCATTTCCCACGCCCCAGGATGGTGGTGGGGTTCTGAGGGTGAAGAGACAGAGACTCTGACAGGGCTCACACCAGTGAGACTCAACAACAGCGTCTCTATGGGTGAGGCTGAATTTCCACCATCGCTATTGCATGTTAGACCGTTGCCAGGTCCACACTAAGATATTGTGTGGTTAGTTTGGCTTGGGGTTTAGTGGGAATGAAATCATCACGGTTAGCAAAACATGTTTTATGGTTTAGTGTGTTGTGGAAATCCAGCTAAGCATGGTTCATTCAATGAACCACGGTTAAATAAACCATAACTTAGTGTAAATGGATGAACCTAATTCCACTTCTCTCTCTGAGCTTATTACCTAGAGCTGCAGTATGTTTGCCATTTTGTAAGATGCAATGAGAGGGTGATCCCCTGACCTCCAGGTGCCCATTGAATCACTAAGATGGGAAAGCTGGCCTCACCTCCTTGGAGAAAAACCTCCCGCTCTTTCACCGCATTTAGGATGTCTTTTGCTGACTAAGGACTCCCATCCTTCAGGTGGACTCTCCGTTGCAACATGTACTTAGCCACCTGCTGGTTTCTCCCCGCACAGATCTGATGCTGAGAAAGTTGAGTATAGGAACAAAATGAGCTTGTTCACTGTGGCCCCATTTCTGCAGATAATATTATTCTGGTCCACCTCCTGAAATCCCCTTCCCTGTTGAACTGAGGTTCAGCAATATTTCTGTTCTTGGATGTACAGTATGTCACTGCAGGAGTTTCAGTGGTTTGGGGAATGTTTATCGGTTTTGTAAGCTTTATATGAAATGGTAGATGCTAATGCTTGTGTCCAGCTAAAAAAAAAAAAAAAAAAAAGGCAGTGGACAGTTGAAGTCAAACAGACTTGCACTGCCTGTCCTCAGATTCTGAAGGCTTCATCTCTCCGCAAGCAGGCCATGATTCGGCAATGGGGAGAATGCACTCTGTGCATGGTCTGGGAGGAAGCAGGTCACACTTATCCCAGGTTTCCAAGAAGTTCCAGAGCAAAAAGCGGCTGGGGCTTCTGGGAAGAGGCTCTTTGCAGACTTGGGGGCCCTCCAAGCCAATGCTAGGTTTGTTGCACATTGGGAACATCAATGCGTTGGTAGGGCTGGGGAGGTTAGGGTAATCGCTCCTCTGTTACCCCTGCTCATTTCAAAAGGTGTTCACCAGGTTATCTGATGGAGTGGAGCCAGGTCCATCTCTGCAGATGAGAAGGGATGGCCTTGGAGGGCTGATGTTGGCCAGACCCTCAAAGTGAAACACGGAATGAAATCCAAGCCAAATCATCAGTAAAAAATAACTACGTGCATCAGCTCAAACTCTGTTGCTGAGGGAACTCCGGTGTGCTCTTTCTCTCTAGCTAGGGAGGGGCAGTTTCAAATGGTTACCTCCTCCCCAAAGTTGCCAGGAATATTGAACTTTACAGATGCTACTCAAGGAGACCAGTGCTATTATTGTCCATTAAGAGATAAAAAAAGGCATTTCACAAAGTCTGCTGCAAGCGAAGCCTCTAAATTGCATTTCAAGAGGGAGATGGTGGCCTGCAGCCCGCTCTCTCTCAAACTGCGCCCTGAAGCTCCCACTGAAACGCAAAAGTCGCAGCAGAACTGACCGAGGCCTTAGCAAAGGGCAGAGGGATCTTGACCTTGGCCCCCACCAGGAAAGCATGTTCCCCCTTTGTAACTAGCCCTCCTTGCTCCTTATTTTGGATCCCTGGACAGCCTAATCTTACAAGCAAGAGCAGCGCTCTCCTGGGAAAACAGTGGTTTCTGCTAAACGCCGATTCTGCATATCGGTGCCATCTATTCAGAAAGTACCTCTGAGCCTCAAAACCAGCCAGGTCTCTAGTCCACGACAGCCCCAACTAACTGCCCCCTTTAGAGCCGGAGCTCACCTCCCTGCTGATGACACCAGGTGAGGATCCATCTTCCTCCCAGCAAGAGCTAAGCTGGGGAGATGCAACAGGTTCTTTCACCTGACATGTCATCCCTGTGTTTTTCATCCTGCCTCTCGCCAGACGAGCATCACAAGTCCACTGGCCTGCAAACAAGTAAGTGCCCCCTGTTTCCCCCCCACACACACACACACACAAGAAGAAAAAATATCTTTCTTACCGATTTGGGCTTCTTTTTGGGAGAGAGGTTCTCATAAAAGGCCTTGGCATCGTCCCAACTCGCTTGCTTTGGCTGCCCTCCACCATTGGGGACCGGGCTGCTGCCAGGCTGCCTTCTGCTTTCTGGGCATCCAGGTCCAGCGGGCTCCATGGCACCTTCCCTCTACCCGTCCAGGGAGCAGGAGAAGATGAAACCAGCTGGCGGGTGGCTTTCCTTCTGCCTTAGGACCGGTTCAGCTGGGGGGCTGCGGCAAAGAGCCGGCAGCCTCCTCTGCAGGCGGTGAAGGGAGAGCGAATCGGGCGGGAGCTGCAGCAGTCTGCTGCCGTGCAGGAGAGGAGGCAGGCAGGCATCTGCGTGCAAGAGCACGTGTGTGTCAGTGTCGCTCAGAGCACGCTCTTTATAAGGGATCCCATGAACCTCCTGGGCACCTCTTGCTCCCAAAGCAACTGTCCGCGCAGCTGCTCTCCCGGCCTCCCTTCTCACAGACCCACGAAATCTGTGGGGAGCCCCAATCGGGGTGGGGGCAGAGGTGCAGTGGATCCGCAGAGGGTGCTGCCCTAGGGAGGGGCAACAAGGAGCCTGGAGTTGAACAGCCTGGGAGATAGAAGGCCCACATTCAAGGTGGTATGTAAAATGGCACGCAGTGGGATGAAACGGGACCAGGGACATCCCTCTCGGGACTCAGTGCAGGCTCCTGCGGGAGCCGAATGCCAGACAGTCAGGAACCACCAACTCCGGCCAAGTTTTGACCGATTCCTGGAAGAGAAGGCTGTCTTGCATCACCTCCTGATTTTAGGGGCCTTTTATTGCTGCCAGAAACAAATCCCTTTTCTAGGTGGAATGGGGTGGGGGTGGGGAGATCTTGGTTAACACATAAACAGTGGAACAAATGGACTTCTACTGAACAGCTAAAGGGGGGGGGGTTTAAACAGGTTCACTTACTTTTACAAATTGTCTACATCCTCTCAGTAGTAGACTCCCCTGGTCCCCCCAATTACTCCTGAGGGGTCAGGCATTCCCAGGCTTGTACCCCCTCCTGGGAGGAGGTGCCCTGCGTTGCCATCCCTTGGTTGACTGATCCCCCAATCGCCACAGGCTAGCCAAGGCTTGTGGCCTCAATGGCACTCAGGAGAAAGGATGCTCAGCTCCATGCCCTGGGAAATTGGGGGGGGGGGCGCCCTGGCACAGCCGCCCTGCTTGTTAGTTTCCCAAAAGACTGGAAGGTAGACCCGATGGGGTTTGGGTCTAATCCAGTTTAAAGACTTGAGCTTGAATTTAAAGATGTGACTGTACAGATTATAATGCACCTAATTAGCCATTAAGAGAAAGGATGTTGCACATGCTGAAAAAGCCCCTAAGACCCTCCCTGTGTGGCTGGGGAAGGGCAGAGCTCTGGTTATGGTGGTCCAGAATCGGAATCGCGGTTCCCAGAAAGAGGCAGCGCAGGAGTATTGCCCTGCGTCATTTTAGCCAGAGAGAGGCTCCCTGGCCACGGCAGCTCCCTTAGACCCTCTCGCTCGGTCGCTCCTGCAACGCTCCTCTCCTCCGCTTTGGCCGGTGTGGTGTAGCGGTTGGTGCCTCTGTTCTACCTTTCGTGCATTTATAACCCATCCTGGTCCAGGCGACTCTAAACGGTGTCCCAAGCAACAGCTGCTGCAGGTGCAAACCCGCCACAGCATCGGAAGGTCCCCCCTCTGGGGCTCCAGCCCAGCCTCCTCACAGGGTGGCGCTTGGGCCGCAGACCAGGGGATCCTCAGGAAACGGTCCTGGAGGGGAAAAGCCTAACGAGCCAATGCTTGTTAGGGAAGCGAGCCGGTCTTACCGGGAAGCTGAATTTCGCCCGAATGCCGCATCGGCACTGGGCCTTGGCCGGCCTCTTTGCTCCCCCTAGACAGCCTGACCTGGAGCCTTGAGGGCAGCTCTGGGGCTCCCCATCCAGGCCATTCCCCACAAACACCTGCCCGGACAAACTCAGCCACGGGGTCTCCCAGCTCCAGGAAAAGCCAGGCTGCCTTCTGGAGACGGGAAGGCGTCACTGCAAGAATTCAGAGGAAAGCAGGACCACCTCGAGCTGGTTTGGGGGACCTCTGAATGGGGTGATTCTGCCGGAACTACCCCTTCCCCACCACCAATCCACAGCACACAGACATGCACGCACACGCCCTCTGCCTCTTCACCCTGCCCTGCAGCAGAAGGCTCTAGAAGGAAGCCAGTGGCTCTCTGCAAATCCCAGATTCTTAATCCTTGGAAATCACGTGGATTGCAAGAACTGTGGTACTCCATTCCCAGTGAAAGCAACTCTCATTGAAGCCAATGCAGGTTCAAAGGAAAGTTCATTTATTGGAAAGTAGTGCATGGCTCTAGAAGCATAGCTGGAGCTGTCCCGTGTGCACCAAAACCTAGTTTTACCCACTCCCATTCCTCCCCCCTTTCGGTCTTTGAATCTCTCTTGCGCATGTTGAAGATGTTCTCCGGTTCCCACGTTGATATGACCTTGGGCGTTCCTGAGAGCCAGATAATGGCCCATCTGCGCCTGATGGTTCACCTCCCAACCTTTCCCCCCTTCCTCCCTCTCTACTGTAATGGCAGAAACGAAGCAAGCAAACTAGCAGTGCAAGTGACTGATTGCAAGGGTTCTGACATGGATATTGTATGAAAAAGACATAATGTTCATGTTCAATGGATCTTCTGGGATAAGACCCAAGTGTAGCCCTATTTGCTGCTGCTGCTGCTAATGCCATTCACGTGAATATTATGCAAACCCAGAAAAAAGGTTAATTCAGTAATCGCTGTATTGTGTGAACCTACCCACTGTTTGAGTGTGTTTGTCGGCTAGCCTTAATTAATTAATTCCTCTCATTCCTTCTTATTGTGTCATAGCAAAATATATCTGAAGTTCAGTCTGTCCTCGCATGTATTTGTAGCATACTTGGATTTGCAAGGGTGTTTGCCCTACAGTCCACAACGGCTGACTTCCTTCAATCTGCCGCTACAGCAAACCTCTGGCTTAGTGCAACATGTGAATCTTGTACTTTGGGCATTTGCATCTTGCATCTGCCAACACAATTTGGGGGAGAGGAATCAACAGGAGGCAATAAATCTTGAAGGAGAGCTGGTGTTTTTGATGACGATACAGGATGCTCGAGTCTCTGCAAGGCTGTTTGTACCATCCTAGACACGACAGACACATGCAGAAACTGTATTTAACTATCAGAACAGCTCCCTCCAAGTAGACCTAGAGAAATGCACACATGCCCCCTCCCCCGGAGCCACCTGGCCTTCTTTGCGCCTGTGTTCAGCTCTGTGGTTTCCAGGGCCCTCTAGTGGCCAGGAGCCCCAGAGAATCTCCCCCCCCCCGTCCTGCCCGCTTCTGCCTCGCCAGCGTGCCAGACTTCAGGAATAGGAGAGCAACATCTGACTCGGTTGTCGGGTCAGGCAGCGGGGTGGGGAGAATTGGTGCTTCAAGAGGGCAAAGCAACAATGTGGGCTTCTCAGGGCAGTCAGTCCATTTCTATTCACCCATTCCTAAAGGCAGCCTTACCATTTGGCTGCCGCATCAAGTCGCCCCCGGCTCAAGAGGTTTCTTCCCCCTTAACAGGAAAGATGCAGTGGGCAGGTCTTTTCTCGCATGCTCGGTGGGTGGCAGATAGCAGGAGGAGCACGGCTGGACAATGACTTTCTAAATGATGTTTGCTTTCATTTGTACATCCCAATCCGCCCTCTGCTGTTTGCATCTGACACACAGCAGCCCTTCCCTGCTTGGAACTGAGTCACACCTGAAATATGGAGGGGGGATTTCCCACAAAGCCTGGCCAGGACAGGGGATGAGCTTTCCTGGGGATGACGCAGATCGAACCTTCAGCCTCTCTTCCACCACCCACCCATGTCAAACAGCCACATCAGGCTTGTAGCCAGCCAAAAGGTACGCCAGAATCGATAGGTTAGCCTCTGGGGGACGATTTAGGAAGGGGAATGGCCCGTTGCCCCCCCAAGCTACCGGCCTGTTGCCTATGACCGTCACAGCAGGTATAATGGACACTTCAGCCACTGGGTTCGCACAGCACCAGTTGACTGAACCGGTTTGATAAAAGTTGATTCCAGCTGTTGCACCCACTTAGCACATGTGTTAATTCAGTAACCGAGGCAAGTGCAGTGCACAAACCTAGCCAAAATATTGCATCGCTTACATTACTTTAACGTATTTTAAATACCTGTCAGAGAGACAGGCTCAACAAGCGACATGACTTAGTTCAGCCTGATGGGCAGTGTCACTTTTGTGAACTTCAAGAATTTAAGGAGTTGACCAAGGGGATGATGGTTTCAGAGATTTCATTTAGTCCCTGAGTTAACCCATGTTTGTGTGGCTTGTGCTATACCTTGAACCCAGAAGAAACCAAAGGGCCTTGCCTTACATAGACCCTGAGACCCAGCAGGTTAAAAGTAGCCAAGCTTCCACCTGGTGTGGATGTTGACCGGGCCTGGTCAATAAAGCTCTTGTGCAAACCGAGCCACCCTGCCCCAGGACTGAGGGCGCCCATCCCTCTCTTAGGAGATGCAAGACCACAGAAACCAGTTGCTATGCTGAAAAGCAGCAGGGGGTTGATCAGCTAGCTCTGCCACCGTGCAACAGACGCCCCAAGAGCGTGGTAGGTAAGAACATCGGAAGGGGGCTAAGACTGGAACAGGCCCTCGGTCCACCTCGTCAGCATCCAGGGACACCCGTGGCCAGCTGGCTACACTTAGGAAGCTGTCCAGCCTTCTCCGCAACCAGCCCTCAAGGCCAGCTGCCTGGGTTCAGGAGGGAGAAGGGGCCAGTAGCAGCCTCTGGGGCCCAGATCCTTCAGAAACCGGTCCAGCCCCCTTTGAACGCCACCCAAATTGGCTGCCCTTATCACAACTGCTGGCTGCCAGCGCTACAGAGGCCCACCACATTGTAATTTTTAATATGGTGGAAAAGGATAAATATATTAACTGCATTTAATTAACATACTTTAATTTTAAGTATATTGAACTTGCTTTTGTCCGGAGTCCAAATCCTCGCTGGAGCACAGACCCTGGTGTGCGGTGCGGCCCTCGGCCCAAAGGAGCTGTGCCACTGGGGCGGGAGCGCCACCGATGCCTCAAGCGGCTGGGCCCGGGGTCAAGGCACCGCACGACTTCTTTGTGAAGAAACACAGTCCCTCGTCCCCATCCCCATCCTCCTCTCCGCCATTCAAAATGCTTCAAAGGAGTCTGGAAGAAAAGACTCGGACTGGGATTTGTGGGGCTTTGGTGTGAAAGAGCAGAATCCTTCGCTATCCTGTCAGGGGTGCTTTGGGTGGACAACCAGTTCTGCTGGTGCTCCGAAGGGCCCTCTCCCCCTCCTTGGAAGGACAGCCCGCCAAAGGTTGGCGACAGGCAGCCGCTCCGAAGACAAGTGGCACCTCAGCACAGGGCAAAGCAGGACCGAGCTCCTTCCCGCCAAGGCCGCGTCTACCCCATCTGCCCCACAAGCTATGCTGGCAAAAGGGGGGGGTCCAGATGCTGGCATCTTTCACCTGCAATCCCATTTTCCTGTAGTTTCGTCATGTTTTTTCTTGCCGCAAAAAATCTGGGAAGGTGGCAAAGGGGTGGGATTGGAGGCACCCAAGGGTTCCCCTCCCCTCCCTTGTACACAGACACGGACCAAGCCCATTTATCATCTTTTTATTCAAAGAAGCCAAACTGCAAACTCCCATTGGAATGAGGACACCTTTGAACACTTAAAAAAAAAGATTTACATGTACGCACACACACACTCCCCTACCTACCTCACAGTTTCTAAACAAGTACAGCAATACTCACAACCACAGAAGCAGATAGGACAATCTCCAGAAACAATCTTCAGTGCAGGATGGGATGCTGAAGGGCAGGACGTGGCAGCGGAGGGGTTTGCCTTGGCACACACGGCGGCTGCACTTGGCAGCCGCGTGGAACCCTCCTGGCACCCTCGGCAAGCCCTGCCTCATCTGTCTCCTGCCCCCACTGACGGAGCTGCCAAGAAGAAACTGAAAACGCCCATTTTAGATCCCCCCCCACCATAAAAGTTCAATTAAACAACAAGCCCATTTCATTCAACCTGGCTTGCTTCCTTCCACACACTAACACCAGGCCTTTGGTTCAGATGACAAGCCACAGTTAACCTCCCACCCAGCAAAAGCTGCTGGGGAGCAAATGCCCCCCGGCTCTCTTGGAACGGGGCTCCATCGTGGGCCCGCTGCCCCTTTAGTCCGCTGCTTCGCGGGTGGGGGCCGCTCAGAGGCCCGAGACGTTCCGTCCCTCCCAAGAGAGCCCGAGATTCTCACCCCCCCTTTCCTGGCGCCTCCAAACAGCAGCCTCCCTTTCCTTTAGCCACCCTAATTAGACTTTTCAGGGGAGGGGGTTACAATCACCTTACCAGCTCATACTTTGCCCCAAACTAAGTTCTCCAGGGCATCGATCACAGTGCAAGTCTGCTCAATGGTAAACCTTAAATGCTACGGGTGCGGGGGGAAGGGGGGGGGGGGGAGAAGGGCATCAGAGTTGCCAGAACCACCGGAAAGCTGTGGGGGCGCTCTCCTGCCTTCGTGTGGAACACAAGTGCACGCACGCAGGTGTGCAAGCGCATGCTTCTCTGTTCCGTTCACCCTGGAAGCCCGGCTTGCTCCCAGGGCGCAAGGGGGGAAGAATAAAAAGCAACTTAATTACACCTGTCACCAGGTGACGTCTGTCCCCAAACGGAATGTTTGTCCTTAGCAGTCCGAGGCTCTGGCGAGGCTCAAATTCTGTATTTCGAAAGAGCTCCCTCCCTCCGATGCCCTTTGACGGCATCAATGCTTTATTTTTAACGCACCGAGCACCCAACAATCGTCTCCTCTTTCTGGGAGCCCTTCAGACAGAGAATCCCGCAATCTCCACCAACCACAGACTCTTCACACCTTCTCCGGCCCTTGGGAAAGCAAGAGCCTCCTCCTCCCTCCCCATTAATTCACGGCTTACAGCCCATTAATTACAATGAATTATCGGCAGAAGCAAAAACGAAAACAACCTGCACTTTTACATACTATAAGATTAGTACAGAAATACACTTTTTACCAAGAGCTGTAACTGTCAGTTCAGGAGCGGACGGTGTCACTCTGCTTCAGAAGATGAAGGGCAGGATCTCAGCTAACCTTCCCCCACCGAACCTCTTCTAGAGGGTGGGAATAGAGCTCCCCCATCCCCAGTCTGGGTCCCTCCTGGCTGGCCGGAGGTGGGAATTACCAGAAACCCAGAAGGAGGATTTGTCCAAGAAACGCTGGTCTCAAGGGGAAAAAAGGGATAGCTGTTTAAAAATTTACAAAACGCCACAGGCTCCCCACTGCCAGAAACGGTTGCATCGCCACTGGCTCGTCATGGCAGCGAAGGAAGTGACGGGGGGAAGGGGAGGAAGGGGACATCTCCTCTTTTCAGGTTTTTTTTGGGGGGGGTGTTCTTCACAGCCCTGGACCTGCCATCAAAAAGAATATCTCTAAAGATTTGTTGTGGGGGCGGGGGCACACCAGAGCGGTGGTGGTAGATTTTCCCTACCCCTAAGAGCAAGGGCTGGTAGCTTAAGAGAATGGACCTTGGGGTTACCAGACCTTGCAGCTGTCGCAGTGTGGGTGACCTGAATTTAGGCAGGCCATCAAAAGTTAGATTTTCTGCCGGTGTCTTGGAAACACCACATGTCCAAGAAGAAAAAAGGAGGTCAGCGACTCCAGCCAGAGTGGAGCCAATGGATTGAGATGGACATCTTCCAGCTGAGAGGCTAAGGGACGTCATCCAGACCTCTGTGCTGGCTGTGCCGAGAAGGGCAGATGTTGCAAGTGGTGGGAAAGGCACTTGCAGATTCATCTGGGCAAAGGCAGCATACCTCCCCCAAGAGGGGGTTTGCAGCCCCAAAGAGAAAGGAAAGACAGCGCACAGCTGGGCAGGGGACAGGGTGTCTAGTGCCCCAACCCTTCTATTTCTGCATGTCGCACTGCAGCAGGAGGACAATTGAGGGGTCACTCTTGGCAGCCTCCTTGAACTCCTCCAGGCTGATCTGGTCATCTTTATCCTTGTCCATCTTGGTGAAGATCTTGTCGACCCGCTGCTGAGGTGTCAGCCCATCTTGGTCCATCCGCATCATAATGACGGTGCCCACCATCTTGTAGATAGCCTGAAAGACAGATGGGGAAAATGAGGCCATGGTTCTTCCAGCACTGATCACAAGATCTGCTGCCTGCTTTGCTGCCCCCCTCTGCAATGAACAGCTGTAGACCATGCATAGACTTCTGGATATCTGAAGCTAGGACCACCAGCATGAGACCAGCCCCATGGTGGAAGTGGGTACCATTGCAGTTATCTGTGTTCTTCACTTAGGAAAGGACAACTGGGAATTGCAGGGAACGTTTTCCTGATTTTTGGGTTTGATCAAGCCTATTTTATGGGTTCACAGCAAAAAAATTACAAAGCGGTAGAAAAATGTGTTTCCTTTGACTGGTGATCTGCTGCGACTTTAGCAACATGACTTCAGCTTGGCCAGCCCTGCACTGACCTAATTCTGAACACCAAGCCTGGGGTGGAAATCCATCCAAGAGAACTTCTAGTACCTCAATTATCTCTAGCATCTCTAAACGCGTGATCTTCCCGTCCCCATCCAAGTCGTACATCTCGAAGGCCCAATTCAACTTTTGCTCAAAGCTGCCCCTGGAAGTGACGGACAGAGCGCAAATGAACTCCCGGAAGTCAATGGTCCCGTCTCCGTTCTTGTCAAATGTGCGGAAAGCGTGCTGGGCGAACTTGGACGCATCACCATAGGGGAAAAACTGCAAAAGGAAAAATGGGAGAGGGGCCATCACAAGGGTTGCTGCCAGCAACAGAGACTCACGGGCGAAATTCCTGCAGCTACTCCAGCAGCAGAATCGCATGGCTTGAGAACTTCATCCAACTGGTCCTGAACAGAAAAACTACTACTTGGTTGCTTTTCCCAAGGTTCATTCCAGAAAAATGTCACAAATAACATGAAGAGTCCACCCCATTCCCTTGCAAAGCCAGTATGTGACACGGTAGGACTGAGAAAGCCCTGATTGATTTACAGTCTTGGGTTCAAGTTCGGTAACCCTGGGCTAGTCACTCTCTCTCAGTCTAATCTGCCTCACAGACTTGACGTCACAGTACATAAAATTAATTGGCCACCTTGAGCTCCAGATGGGAGGCTTTGCTGATAAGCCTACATTAGTCGAGTGAGGTTCATTAGATCTACAGTACTCACCCAACTTTCCTAAAATGGGACACCAGAATTTCCCAGCCTTTACGGCTACTCTGAGAGCTTTGGGAGTTGAAGTTCATACATCTAGAGAGTGCTCTGGTTGAAGAAAGTTGCACTAACTCATGCCCTCGCCCCCGCCCCCTCCCCAGCAGCCCCTCCATACCATACCTTGATGTAGAGTTGCTGGAACTCCTCCAGGTTGAGGATGCCCGTGGGGCAGTCTTTCAGAAACCCCTTGTACCACTGCTTCAGCTCTTGCTCATTAAATTCCGTGCTTCTCACCAGGTCATCCAGCATCTCTGGAGCCAACTTGCTATTGTGCTTCCCCATTGTGGGTTCTGGAAAGAGAAATGTGCCAGCCGTGCCACTGCCCTGACATACTCTCCAGGCGTCTCTGTCTCCCTCCCTCTGTCATGTGCCTGTTCTGGGTCTCAGAGCTGCTTGGGGAAGAACCTACTCGCGTCACTCATCAAAAGGACTGTTCCTGTGGATGACGCTACATATATCATAATAAAAAGGAGCCAGAATGGTGATCCACTGACAGCAGGAGAAAGACATGCAAGAAGAAATGACCACACAGAGCAAATAGTCCACATTGTTCAGGGATTAAGCCAACTTCACTGGCATTAGGTTTGCCATTGACCAATGTTGCAGAGAGGAAAGCAACATTGATCTTCAACATTTGGGTGACAGTTGCTTGAGGTTGAACAGCAGCATTGCTGACTTCAAGGTGACAACTCACTACCTCAAGATGCTTCCCAAAAGTGTGGCCCGGGAGAACGGTCTCTATACTAGACTATCAGGAAGCCCCGCTTTTTCCACAGAGTGGCCAGGCCATAAGGAGACACAATCTCCTCTGTAATCCATGTTGTGCAACTGGCATAGTAATACGGGTAGTCCTTGTTTAGGAACCACAACTGGGACCAGCAACTCGATCATTAAGCAAAGTGGTCACTAAGTGAAACAGTGACTGTGTTTATAATCTTATTTCAGCTTTCCTTTGCTTTATGGACCTGCTTTACAGATTGTTCACAGTTACTTTTTCATTACTATTGTAACTGCAAACGGTTGCTAAACATAGTTTTTTTGTTTTTAATAGTTTTTAATGGATAAAACCAATTTAGTTTTTGTTTTAATTATGTATGCCACCCAGAGTCATATGCAAGTGAGATAGGTGGCTAGCTAGCTAGCTAAATAAATAAATAAGGCAATCATTAAATGAGGACTACCTCTATCATTTAAAATTTGGAGCCATCAGTCCACCTTGCTCTTTTGAATCCTGAAAAACTGTAAATTTCATCCTTGGTCTTTTATCGGACCATATGTAATTCATTACCTGTTTACGTCAGTCATTTAATACTTTGTTTTCAATGTATATTGGAATCTTTTGGAACAGAAAGTTAAGCCTTGCTCGATCTTTGTTTTAACAGCTGCAATTCTTCCTAATCAAGACAATTTTAGTTTCCTCCATCTCGAAATGTCTACTGTTATATTTTTCCAAATCGTGAATGCACTTGTGGTCAGAGGATGCATTTTTCCCCACATCATACCCAAAGCACACTGGTCTTCTAGCCAGTGTCCTAGTCCTGTATAATCAGAGATATTATCCTCTTAAATGGGGTCTCTGCACTAGATATGCCTAGGAAAAAAAAAAAAGCAAAGGATTTTTCGGCATTTTAACTAACAGTTTCTATTCCTGTGACAAAAGTTCAGAAATCCATGAAACTCAAATGACGCTTTGCTACTGGCTCGCACCACTGCTAAAAGCTTTGCCACAAGAAACATCCATGTAAGTTGGCAACCAAAGTGGGTGAGCTGGCATACGCTGATAAGAGCAAATTATTGTAATATATGTTATTTATTTATTCATTCAGGCCCAATCATGAAGTCTAGTTTTTTCAGTTTATACAGGAAGATATCCAAGCAGAAGCCATTTGAATTTTGCTGCCAATCTGCATCTTCCTTCCCCAGTTCCCAAAGGCACCGGTGCTACCAGCTGTACCGGTCACTGCCCCTCGCACTGCAGTAAGCAGCAGAAATGACAAAGGCCGTTACGAAGACGGCCCTGGATGTCACGGTCTTGCTCACTGAACTGCACACGGGACAGCCGTGTTCTTTACTTCAGTCAGGAAGCACGCAAACAGCACTTCTCTCCTCTTTCTCCAAAATGCTGGCGCGAGCCTTTGCTTGTCTCACCGCTGATACTGCTAGTTAAGACAGGCAACCTGGAGCCCTCCCTGTGTTTTGGCTTGTGAGGCGTATGGTTGTTGAGGGAAACGGCGCAGGGAAGAGAGGTTATACACACCAGCAGTCACCCTTGCACACCCCAGCGGCAGGAATTTTGTCGGTACGTGTAGTGGAGAAAAGGCTTGAGAAATGCCACCCTCTGCCCTCTGTTAAAGCCATGCTGCTGGGCTCTCTCACCCACAGTTTTCTCCCTTTGGGGAAGGAACCTCAGGTGACCGATGCGTTTCCTTTCCCTGCAAAAGCTCGGCTGGAACGCCTTTCGAGCACCGGGAGGGCTGCCACATGGGAAAAGACGGAGCCTCCTTCTCTGCGGCTTCGAAAGCTGGCCGGGACCAAATTCGCCAAAGTCATGAGAGGAGAGATCACGGGAAGCTGCCCAATAGCACAGCAGTCAGCTATGACCCCGGGCAAGCCTCCTTCTGGGGCTCTCCCCATTCTGGGGAGTCAGAGCGCTCCATCGTGTCCTGCCTAGCACCGGGAGCCCTTCTGCCCGGCCAAGGGTCATTCCGTCACCAGCCTTTCCCCTGCAGCCAATCCCTGTTTGCTGGCTGATTAAAACTATGGATGGTACCAGCTGGGAAGAGCTGGTCTTCATTTACGAACAGAGGAAGGCTTGCCAGGTTCCTGCTTGGAGGACAGGATCACCTTCTGGATCCTGTTACAGCAGGATCCCATCTTCGGCAGGGGAGAGCAGGCCTTGCTCTGGAGTAGGTGAGTGTCAGATTGCACCTTGGCCTTCCAGCTTGCAATAATGCAGGAGCAGAGCAGAGTTTTGTCACTAAGGAAGCCCACTGGCGATAACCAGACTTCTGAGAAAATACTCAGTGCATCAAATCACCCAAGGCAAACTCTCCCAGTACATGCAAATTCCGGGTGCATTCGTCCTTCTATGAAAGGCAGGAATCTGGGCCCCCACCCTTGCCAGCGGTTTAGCAACCATTAGGGGTCACAGGTTCCCCTGCCCTATAGCAAGAACCTTTCACAGAAGACCTCCTAAGCTGAATGAGGGGATCTTCCTTCCCCATCTTCTGTGCCTCCATTCCTCTGCCCCCCCCATAAACTCCTCAAGCGAGGAGCCTCTCTCACACTTCAAAGCAGGTTTGCCATTACCATAAGGTTGACCAGCTGGAGAAGGTGGGTATGGCCCTATTGGCTGGGTCAATGAATGCAAACAAAGCCCCTGACGCAAGTCACTTGGAGGTCAGCACCTTCTGTTCAGTGGGGCTCGTTTATGGACGACGACTCACACGAATGCTTCACTGAGGGAAAAGAATGACTGATAACTGCTTTCAAGCAAGCCCTCAACTGAGATGGGGGTGCAGGTGATGGGGGAGCACAGGGACTGACAGGTCTGTTCTTACTGCTCTCTCCCTGGGAGCAGAAACGATTGGGGCAGTTTGTGGTACCAACAGATTAGCCCAGCAAAAAGGGAGTTTTGGTGGGTGCTTTGCATGGTGCAGGAACCTGACTATTCTCCTCTGCCCCCAGACCACAGTGCAGCTCCACGACAGGAGCTGTTCATGGAGAACCAAGGACCCTACTGGCAGCAAGACCCAGGCAGCCTGCATTGCTGGTTCTGCACTCCAGCAGCAAACTGAGAGCATGCAAAGCTGCCTTCTGGAGAGGTCCAACAGCCAGCACTGTGAGATGGCCCTGAGCGAACTGCAGCATGTTTAGCTCTGAGCTTCAGTCTGCCTGAACAGACGAAGCTGCATTTGAAGGCAAGAGCACCTGTCTGAGACGCAGGAAGCCCTGGATAATCCCAAATCTTGGGGACCCTGAGCTCCTCCAGCATCCTCCCCGCTGGCCAGGTTGCCTGGGCTGCTGTCCTCCAGCAAAGTCTGGAGGATTGCAGGCTTCCTACTCCCCCGCCCCTACCCCAGTAAAGCAGCCTCTGGAGGAAATGGGTGCGTCTCTGGACTCACAGCACAGGAGGCCCATCAAAGACAGATCCCCGGGAGAAATGTCCATGTAGCGACCAAGCTCCCTGGAAGCCCAAATGCTTGGAGGATCAGGGGGAGGCTTTGGAGAAGGTGACACAGAGGGCAAGTCACACATGTTCCGTGGAGGTGCCCGTCCCACTTTGCAAAAGGAAAGCTGGTGCTGAACTAATGCCTCCAGTTCTTGGGTCAGTTTCTCTTCCACTCTCTCCTTTCGGGGCCAAGGAACTGACAACTACCGTTCCCTCTCAAAAGGCACATTTCTTTTGACCTTCATAGAAGTCAAGGGCTGGGAGATTTTGTTTTTCTTGTCAGGCTTCTGTTCCCGAAAGTGCCTGGGCCCCGTTGTGCCAGCAGGCAGCGAGAAGGGCAGGAATCCCAGTTCTTTCTTTACCGCCCACCAAGGGCCATAGCAGCTTGTTTCATGCAGCATTCCACAAGTACCCAGCCACATGCAAGTGGTGCAGAAAGGGCGTAGCGTGGAATTTTGTCTACAGAAAAAGGATTGTCCTAAGAAGCACCCTTTTGGAACAGACAGAAGCGCCTGGTCTCCATGGGGTCCAGCAGCAAAATATGAAGAGAACAGCTTCCTCCTGACTGTGGTTCTTCAGCAAGTGAGGGCTGAAGAAATACTGCCCCTGAACTTGGATGTTTCATTTCAGCACCATGCCTAATAATCACCGATTCCCCTTATCCTTCCGGGGGCAATCCCCCTGCCTTGTGATGGCAAGTTCTGGATGATCATTCCGTAGGATGCGAAGAACCGCTCTCTGTAATTCTGGGCAATACTGCAGGTCTCACTGCTTGAGCCATTTTTGCAAAGGCATTGCAAGAAATATTTTTTTAAATTTTATTTTTTAAAAGCACTTTAACAAAAAAGTGAAAGAAATACATAACTCAGTACTTTGCAAGAAAGAAGTCTGATCTTTTTCCTAATAATCCAGGGCAAATGGAAAAAAAAAAAAAATCCAGCAGGCTCCCAAGTAGCAAGAGGAAAAACATTCCCGTCCAAACCTTGAACTGCTGCAGGAGTGGCTGTGGGTTAATGGCTCCTCTGTATCCAGGACTTTGTCATCTTTGGTGCTGGATGGGGTAGCACTGCCCCAGAAGACCCAGTGTGTAATCTGGGGGTCCTCCTGGACTCATGGCTCCCGCTCGAAGATCAGTTGGCAGCCGTGGCCAGGAGGGCTTTTGCACAGCTCTGGATTGTGCACCAGTTACGCCCTTTCCTGGATTGGGATGCCCTTCGAATGGTCACTCACGCCCTTGTTATCTCCCAGATAGACTACTGCAATGCACC